CGATGTGGGACTCGATCCCAGGACCCTGGGATCATGACCTGAGCCGAAGGCAGTCGCTTAACCGACTGAGCCACCCAGGCGCCCGAAGATAACATTTTTTTAAGGAAGAGAGTTAGACATGGGAAACATCTTTCTTAAAAGTTGATTGTGTCTTACATCTTTAGGAATTATATTAAGACGCATCAGTGTCAGGATTGTATAGTTCTTTATGAATCAATAGGTTAGGAATATATAGTTTTCTAAACATCTTAAGGTTTGTCTGAATTATATATCCATTATTCATAACGCCCACTCTGATCATCTGTGGTTCAGGTTATTGTGTATCAAAGTGTTTTAAAATTGCAAGTGTTTGGGGGTGCCTGGGTGGCTTAGTCGGTTAAGTGTCTGACTCTTGATCTCACTTCAGGTCTTGATCTCAGGGTTGGTCAAGCCCCCACGTTAGGCTCCATGGGCGTGGAGCCTACTTAAAAATAACTAAATAAAGTAGCAAGTGTTCTGAGAAATAGGCACTGGATGGCAAAATCATAATGACATTTTTTGTTTTCCTCAAATGTGTTTAAAACTCCTATAGTAAATGCCTAAGTAAAAAGGAAGCAGCTGTATTTAATTTCAGCAGGTTTTGCAGGCTTCCTTTTCAGTAGCTCTACATTCCTAACTGGCCTTCAAGTCTGTCTTCACAATCAGCTTCCAGTGCTGGTTATCTTTCTCCTGACCTTAGAGCCACTGTCATGACATCCTTGTTCATAACTGAACAGTAGTCACATAGCATTTGACTCTGCCTCCGAATCCTCTTTGGGAGCTCTTTAAAAATGCAGGCTGTTGGGTCAGAATTCAGAAGTGGTGTGGGGAGCAGAGCATGTGTCTTATTTTTTTAGATTTATTTATTTATTTGAGAGAGAGGGAGAGTGCGAGTGTGCGCACACGTGAGCAGGGGGGAGGGGCAGAGGGAGAGGGAGAAGCAGACTCTCTTGCTGAGCGTGGAGCCTGACGCACGGGGCTTGATCCCATGACCCCGAGATCATGACCTGAGCCAAAATCAAGAGTCAGATGCTCAAACTGACTAAGCCAACCAGGCACCCCACCTGTGTATTTTTAAAACCCTCTACAGGTGTGGCCCTGCTCAGCCAGGTTGAGGGACAGGAATAACCTTGATTGCCTCTGGAGTCATTGTTGCTGTTGCTGTGTTTAATCAAAAGAGGCTAACTAGTAATGTAGGACATTGCTGTTGAAGCATTTGCAGTCTAGCCAAATTTGAATCTTCTTTTTCCCTACCCTAACTTTAGGGTTGGGATCATGTCTTAGCTGTGAACCAACTTGAATATTTGGCTGATGGCTGGAATTACTCATAATGGATTAAATGTATATTTTTGATAATGGGTTAATTAACCATCAGGCAAAAGATCCTTGGTATTAATAAGTGGCAGAGCTATGCTCACATACAAGTGCAATGCAGAGTTTTTAAAGTTCCCGAGACTAAAGATTTACTATGTAGGTATGTTCCACACCAGTTTCTTACTGATTAATATTGGAGTTTTACTTTTGGGCAGAGCATATTCTGAGGCAGTGGGGCTTAGTAAGAATAATATGTGTTCTTTTCTCACATGTTCATGATCTTCAGAGGGAAAAAAACAAACAAGATTAAGTATATATGAATTAACACATTAAGATGATTAGGAACCCTAGTGGTCTTTCGTCTTTAGATGAAATACCCTTTTTCATTTTCCTCCATACTTACCTCTCATCCTCCCTTTTGCTGTAGTTTACCATGTACTTCTGTATCTTAGCATACTTCAACACCATCATAGCAAATAGATTTCCTTTAGAGCAGTGCTGTCCAATAGAACTTTCTGCAATTATGGCAGTAGTCTACATATGCATATGCTGCTGCACTTGGGAGCTCAGCTTGGGGCTAGTTTTTTTCTTTCCTCTTCCTGCTGCCTACAGTTCCCAAATGGTAGGGATTTTAGAGTACATTCCTCTTGCGTAGTTAGATATATATCTCCCTTCCCTCTGAGAATGGTGATTGTGCTGGGTCAGCCCTTTATAACTCTGTGCCTTAGAGTCTCTCTTGCCTTGAGACACAAGGGCCCTGGGCTAATTAAAATTAAGATGGACTCTTTTGCAAGAGAACCAAGAATAGCTTGATGTATTGTGAAATGACTTCCTAGATTAGGGTAATATAGTAGGAGGGGGGGTAAAGGAGAGGAGAGGAAGAGGCCTCAGCCCCAGGCCACTGAAGGGCATGAGTAGCAGTGAGCCTTAGGTTTCTTTAGTCGTTACTGGAACGATTTGAGGATTGAATAAGATAATATATATGAAAGCACTTTGTAAAATACAAAAGGCTATAAAAAATCAACTATTGTTTACATTAATGAGAAATTGGGAATTGAGAATAGCGTCCTTTCTAGAGTACAGCTTAGTTTTAGAGAGGATGACTATCTTTTCCTTTGAGACAGAGGTAAGGATAAGAGGATGTATGACAGGCCATAGTGAAGAAGTAGGGATTAAGATAAATGTGAAGTGGGTTTAGATATGATAAAGATTGAGAGCATAAAGAGATGGTGTGGAACATTGCTGAGCAATAGCAAAGGCCAAATTGCAGTTCTACAATATGAATTTGTAGTGAGCTATGTGTGTGTGTGTGTGTGTGTGTGTGTGTGTGTGTGTGTGTGTGGTTTTTGCATTGAGCTTTCATCAGTACTGTATGATTAGGAACAGGGAAAGTAGATGGGGGAAATGATTCACAGCTGAGGATTGGTATACAAGCATGTGGTTGTATAAGGGCAACCTTCAGGCTGGTGACAGGTGTGGTTCAGGATGGGTTAGGAGCTTATGAGCTAAGTTTTGAGTGTAAGTGTAAGCTAAGAATTGGGTGTAAGGTAGGTAACTCTTCCAAAGCCCTAAAGTGATCAAGTGCATTTGTGTGTTATGTTGGAGTGTGATTGATGTGAAACAGATCAACAAATTAGTACAACAGCTAGCCAGTGAGATAAGGGAAGGAAAGGGGAAAGGATTTTTTATTAAGCACTAGACACTATGCTTTACTCTGCTTTACATTTAATTTTTATACCGTATAATATATCTATTTCCATTTTATACATGAAGAACTGAAGTTCAGCAAGTTTAAGTAACCTGTCTGGCCCTTTACTGCTAGTAATTCATTTAAGCTAGTGAGTTGCAGAGCTGAGATTATGACCTATATAGTATTATGTTGAACCATATGAAATTGCTGTTATTTGACCATTTTTTACTGACAGAAATAGAAGTTTCATATGATTCAACTTAATATATTCTTTTTCTTTGTAACTGACCATAGTATGAGATTGGGGTACATTTCAAATATTTACTGTGTTTATTGAGTGTCTTTTCATTTTAATCTGTAAATCAGGTAAATTAGTTTTATTTGATAAACTTAATTTACCTTTTATTTATATAACCTCTTTTTTTTCTTAATTGGTTGGTAGACTTCCAGTACAGTTAAGGTGTTTTATCCCTTTCTTTTGTAGCACTGGATTTCCTGGAACAAATTTTGACATTTAGCCCAATGGATCGGTTGACAGCAGAAGAAGCGCTTTCCCATCCTTATATGAGCATATATTCTTTTCCAATGGATGAGCCAATTTCAAGTCATCCTTTTCATATTGAAGATGAAGTTGATGATATTTTGCTTATGGATGAAACTCATAGTCATATTTATAACTGGGAAAGGTAAATTGATCCTAAGTTAGAAAAATATCATTTATTGTATTTTCACAATGCAGAGTACTGACTACTATATGATCATGGCCCATTTATTGTATTTTCAATAAACCATAATGCAGTGTAGGACAAGACAGTGTAGATGTCTTAAAAATTTAGTAATGGTCTCTTTGGGTTTCTGCTAAACTTATTAATATCTTTGAATAGACTTTATATAATTTAAATACTTAAGTTACTAGTTAGGATATACATAATGGGAAAATGTGAATTCTACTCTGAAACATTTTCAAAGCCATTAAGGCGTGCTTAGTTGTTAACAAATGTGTAAGGTCCTTTAAACATGAGGGTTGAAGGTTGGAAATCTGAACCATTTTAAACTATTGCTTTTAAAAATGTCACAAATTTTTTTTAAGATGTTGGATGACAAGACTGAACCTTATCCAAATAGGTATCTCCATAATGTCTCAAATTTTTACATAAAATCTCTTGTATCTTAGGATAGAAATTATTTTGATTCATGGTATATGCTATTCAAATCTGTTTTCCTAATGACACAAAATTAATCTTGGGCTGCTTGAACATAGGTTCAGTACAAGAGACTTTTCTATTTTGAATAGTATAAAATGTCAAAATGAATAACCTTATACATTTTAGTTAAAGATTTTTTTTCCTCAGCTTTCTTCTAGGATTTCTAAATTCCAGGGAAAATTTAGATATAATTTCGCTTCAGAGTAGGATCATAGCATATAATAATGAATCAATATTATTATTTTTAAAGATTTTACTTATTTTAGAGAGAGAGCATGAGCGTGGGGAGCTGCAAAGGGGGAGGGAGAGGGAGAAAGATTCTTTCAGGCAGACTCTGTGCTGAGTGCACAACCCCAAGGGGGGCTTGATCTCACAACCCTGAGATCATGATCTGAGCTGAAACAAAAAGTCTGAAGGTCAACCCATGTGCCACCTAGGCACCCTATGAATCAATATTATTTAAAATCTTTGGGTGATTTTGATATTTAGCCAGGTGTCAGAGTCACTAATGGCAATCTTAAAACTTTAGAGTTTCATATATTTCTATGTTTAAAAGAATAATATTTAATAATTAAAGAAGTAGTAAATATTAAAATTTGTTTGTTTAGTCATTGCATTTTTTCCCTCCTACAATGTTGAGGTATTTGTATGTTTACACATCTGGCAATGACCTGTTGGTCCACATGAACATTTCTACTGTCTACGTATAGTTCTTTCATACATACTCAAATGTCTTCCAGTCTCTTCTAGTCCCTCCTCCCCATCCCCCAACCGTGCGTGCGTGCGTGCGTCAGTCTGCCTCTACTTGGGCATGGAACGGCCACCTTGCTGTGATGTGTTGTTAAGAGGATACCACATTCAGTAGTGCATGTACATGGAGAGGTTTTTTTAATATTCGTGATGAATTCCAGCAAGCCTTCCTCTGTTCTAGTCTGACTTGTTACCAAGAGAGTGAAAATCTGTAAGAGACCTGATTGAGATTAGAGATAGCTATTTTATGGCCACAGAGTATTTTTTCTCTGTATGAAACTGTTGGAATTGAACTGTAGACATGCCAGCCACTCTGATGTTTATCTGCAGTTGCCTTTGAAGGTGAATGAAAAATAGAATAGAGAAAAGACAGAATAAGTGTGAAATGATATTTGGTCTTAAATTTAAGAATGGAGGACTCAGAATTTTACTGTAATTATATGTTTCATTGGTAATTACTAAAGTGCCACATATTACATTGTGTAGTAACAGATCTTACCTATCCATTAAAAGCATGAGCTATATTCCTATTGTCCCCGCATAGACCTAGCAGAGTGCTTTCACCTAAAAGGCACTCAGTGAATTTGAAAATGAAATCCTATATCTGGACTCACATTAATGCATTAATTTTTTCAGGTACCATGATTGTCAATTTTCAGAGCATGATTGGCCTATACATAACAACTTTGATATTGATGAAGTTCAGCTTGACCCAAGAGCTCTGTCCGATGTCACTGATGAAGAAGAAGTACAAGTTGATCCTCGAAAATATTTGGATGGAGATCGTGAAAAGTACTTGGAGGATCCTGCTTTCGATACCAATTACTCTACTGATCCTTGTTGGCAGTACCCAGATCATCATGAAAACAAATATTGTGATCTAGAGTGTAGCCATACTTGTAACTACAAAACAAGGTCATCATCATATTTAGATAACTTAGTTTGGAGAGAGAGTGAAGTTAACCATTATTACGAACCCAAGCTTATTATAGATCTTTCCAACTGGAAAGAACAAAGCAAAGAAAAGTCTGATAAGAAAGGCAAGTCAAAATGTGAAAGAAATGGATTGGTTAAAGCCCAGATAGCTCTAGAGGAAGCATCACAGCAATTGGCGGAAAAAGAAAGGGAAAAGAATCAGGGATTTGACTTTGATTCCTTTATCGCAGGAACTATTCAGCTTAGTTCACAACATGAGCCTACTGATGTTGTTGATAAATTAAATGACTTGAATAGCTCAGTGTCCCAACTAGAATTGAAAAGTTTGATATCTAAGTCAATAAGCCGAGAAAAACAGGAGAAAGGAATGGCAAATCTGGCTCAATTAGAAGCTTTGTACCAGTCTTCTTGGGATAGCCAGTTTATGGGTGGTGGGGAGGATTGTTTTCTCATAAATCAGTTCTGTTGTGAGGTAAGGAAGGATGAACAAATTGAGAAGGAAAACACTTACACCAGTTACTTGGACAAGTTCTTTAGCAGGAAAGAAGATACTGAAATGCTAGAAACTGAGCCAGTAGAGGATGGGAAGCTTGGGGAGAGAGGAAATGAGGAAGGATTTCTGAACAACAGTGGGGAGTTCCTCTTTAACAAGCAGCTTGAAGCCATAGGCATCCCGCAGTTTCACAGCCCAGTGGGGTCCCCACTTAAGTCAATACAGGCCACCTTAACACCTTCTGCTATGAAATCTTCCCCTCAGATTCCTCATAAGACATACAGCAGCATTCTGAAACATCTGAACTAAAACACTCAGCAGACATTTCTCTTTGTATTCTTCATGAAATGTGTTTTGTCTTTTTTATTACTAGTGTTTCATTTTTTTACTTGAATCATATGGTGTCATTTAGAAAGGATTTTATTAGTTCTTGGTTTTTAAAATCCAGACTTTTTTTCTACATGTGAGATGGTTTTCATTTTAACTGGCATGTCGTTTGCACACAAAAATAAAGAATAGAGCAAAATAATGCAATGCAGGAGGCGACAAAAGAAATGCACTAAGACAAGTAAAAAACATTCTCTCATAGAACAGTGATCTGTTTTACAGGAAACAAAAATCTTGCCTTGAAATTTACACAGTGAGACTGTACATAATTGCATGAGAATATCTATTTTTTTCCTAAAACATTTTTCATTCATGAGTATTTTCAAGTTTTTCATACTGTACACATTTCTTAAAACACATGATACCAGCAGCAACTGAAAATGAATGCCGAATTTGGTACACATGTGTTATCTACCTCAAGGTAACAAAAGTATGTGGCAAAACATAGACCACCCATAGTGCTTCACATATGCACTTCTATTTAGCCAGCGTTTATTGTAGTAAACTATTCTTAATAAGATTCATGCACCGTTTATAAATGTTCTGGTATGCATTTTGTAGACTGAAGTGTTACTATATCGCATTTTATTTATCATAGCAAATCAGTGTATTT